TCCCAGAATTCCCTTTAAGATATCCGGACTTCAACTCCCAGAATTCCTCAGCCAACATTCCATTAGAGCAAGGACAATTCCCCAGGTTAGGCAACGCCGCCTCACTTCTGACCCTGCAATTCCCATTGCTCTAAATCGGAGGGGGGGAATTGCCGCCGGCCGGGGGGGTTGAACTAAATGATCTCAGGGTGCCCCTTCCCCAGCCACCGAAGGGGTGTGTGTATTTGTCTCCCTCCCGTCCCTGGGCTGACCCCCCCCACCCTTTCCAATGACTGGCGGGATGTAGAGAGACGGTTTGTGGAGCAGCACCTTCTGCTCGGCCCATCTGAACTGGGTGTGCGAAAAGCAGCAGTGAGGCCCCCCGAGGTCATCCAGCTATACCCCGGGGAGCGAATAAAACCGACCGTGAGACAAAACAAAAAACCCCACAATGGTCAAAATTGGCCTTTTTCCGCCCCCCTCTGGATGCTGGGCCAGCGGGGCAGCTTCCATGGGTTCACCAAAAGGGCCTGCTTAGCTGGCCGGTGGGGTCCCACCTGGGACCCCCCCCCCCGGGCAGGGCCTTCGCACCAATGGCTTCGTTCCACCTTTGGGGGAGGGGGGGGTTGCAGCACATGGTGTCTTATTTATTTATTAAGGAAACGTATATATGGCCCCCCCTAACTGATTCTTGGTGACTCTGGGTGGCAGCCATTCATTCATCTATACATATCTGTCTGTCTGTCATCCATCTCTATTAATCATTTACAGTATCTATCTATGCCTATTTATCAATCATTTTATCCATCCATCCATCCATCCTATCATCCATCCATCCTGTCTGTCTGTCTCTGTCTGTCTATCTATCCATCCTTTCATCCTTCCATTTTATCATCCATCCATCCATCCTGTCTATTCTCTATCTTATCTATCTACTGTATCTATATCGATCTATCACCCATTTTTCTCATCTATCATCTATCTTTCATTTACAGTACCTCTATCATCTCTCTATTTATTATCTATGCCTATTTATCAATTCATTTATCACCCATCCATCTATCCATCCATCCACCCTGTGCCTATCATCTACCTACTTACCTAGAGCATCTATATCAATTTATCATCCATCTATCTTACCCACAGTATCAACTATCACTATCAATCATGAACAGTATCTATCTCTATCTATCCTTTAATCCATCCATCCTGTCTCGATTATCTCTCCCTCTCTCTATTTCATCTACCCAATCTATCATCTATCTTTCATCTATCATCTATCTCTATTAATCATGTACAGTAGCTATCTATTATCTATCTGATCTATCATCTATCTCTATCAATCATTTACAGTACCTATCTCTATCATCTATGCCTATTTAACAATTCATTTTATTATCCATCCATCCATCCTGTCTATCATCCATCCATCTACCTACCTACCTAACACTATTAATCATGTACCGTATCTATCTATCCATCCTTTCATCCACCCAACCATTCTGTGTCTATTATCTCTTTCTCTATCTCATCTATCTATATCAATCTATCATCTATCTCTCATCTATCTTAATGATGTACAGTATCTTATCTATCTATCTATCTATCTATCTATCTATCTA